CACAACAACCTCACGCCGTCGACCATTGTTTGCCTTGATAAATATTCTTTTTGAGTTTTCTACCATATGATGTATATGGATTTACTTGTAAAGGTTGAAAACAATGTAATGGTCGTAAGTTCATATGATCTGTTATTGACCGGTAAGCGATCCTGTGATTATTTACTATTTTCTACCCGACATTACTCTATAGGATAGTGTATTTTTTCCATTACCGATATTTTGGAAAAATAACATTTTTATCTATTTACCGGTATGCAATGGTTGACCATCATGATGGTAGTACCACAAAATATCTTGCCATGAACTCATATGGTACAACCTTCAATGCGATTTTACAATGTTTACTCATTGATCATTGTATAATGTGGATAGTGTTATGGAAACCAATAAAGATATAGTAATTTGTTAAGAAACTTAAGGAATATATAAACAACTAGGAGAGAGTATGGAGAGGAAAATACACAAGGTTAGAGAGGGGGAGAGTTCTTCTTATTCATGTGTTCCTTAGTACAAGGAGATCATCTATTTATAGGCACACATCACATAACCTCTACATTCTTACAATTAATATACATGAATGTGAGAATGAATGTGAAATATAAATGGGGTGGGGGTTACATGTAACACCCAATTGTGCATCTAATGTGGTGGTCATCCACATAAATATTTACATAATACTCCACCTTGGATTACCACTAGAATGCATTACGCTATCTCATGCTGCCTCATTAAAAAGCTTACCAGGAAAACCCAGTGGGAAAAAACCATGGTTAAGGGAAAAAGTGTGCAGCGCGTATATGCTCCCCCTCATGACAACATCAAAGTGTAGTTTTGTGAACATAACTTTCAAATATAGTCATGGTAGTTTCTTAGTGAACAAATCTTCTAGATTTTCACTTTATGCATGATCTATTATGACCATTTTCTTCACACATGATCTTCAGTATAATTTTCTATGAAAATAGTCCATAACCTTAGGTCAGTTAGACGTGTTAAATCACAAATCTTAACAAAAAAAATTCATAACATGTCTCATGAATGCTAAATATTGTGCATGATTTGATGATACAACATTTTTTATTTGTTTAGAATCTCCATGAGATAGTTGTACGACCAAATAACTCATCTTTGATCATCATCGTTACCTGAAGGTAACGAAGTATAAGCTCAACTCTGTTTGATTGTCATATACAGAGAGACACTGAATGAAATGCTAGATGGCGTGTGGCTAGCAATATACATCAGCACTATAATGACATAAATATACGGTACTTCGAGACCTAATCATTCATTTCTATCTCAAGGCCTAATGGATTCTTTGTCACTTCTAGTGACCTTATGATCATTAGACTATTGAATGTAAGTATTTTTTTCATACAAAATTGCCCTTTCACTTTTTCGACATTGTCATACTGATTCAAAAAGGATCTTCTTAAATCCTTCATGTTCAATTTTCTTTCTTTAAGCAATCCATGCTGTATGAAACTCTTCTAGAGTTCAATTTTCTTTCTTTAAGCAAACCATACTTAAGCTCTTCTGGAGTTCATATCAACTAAAACATATGAGATCATTATAAAATAATGTCTCAACTATTTTCTTCTAAATAAATATAAAACTTAGCTAACACAATTGTATGCAAGCAATTATTTCATACCACAAGGTCATAAGCAAAATCACACAACATCAATTAACCAAACTACCCTCATAAATAAAAAAAATCATACATGTCACATGCATAAGCCTATATGTCAATAAAATCATACATGCCAAATGCAAATGCTTTGATGCACTAAATGAATATGTCATATTCATCCATTTTGTCTCAATCCATTCTAGGGATTGGTCATTTGATCGATAAATGTTCTCGAGAACGTAACATGTTTGCTTCCGGCAAACTAATCATTCAGGGAGTTTCGTATAAATATCATTATCAAAAGGGATCCATACAAATAGGATATCACAATGTCTACCATATGCAGATTTCATCCTTCTTGAACTACCAAACTATTAAATTTCACAAAATAGTTGCATCCACCACAAGAGAGTATGTCCTCTCATAAGTAATGTTAGGTTTCTACGAGAAACCTCTTATGAGAAATTGTGATATATTCCTCATAATTTCACACATTTCCTTACGCATTTGTATAAAACCTATTTGTATCTCGTTAGTTTTCCATCTTCAGGTGTAAGGACTTCTGGTCCAAAACTTTTATCAAGTAAGTCTAATGCTTTCTTTTATCTTGGCCAATATATATTCCTTTGTATGCATCAATTAGACTTTTACTTTTGATCCTCTTTGTATCTATCACGTTCAGTGCTGTAGCATAATCAAAACCCTTGTCGACAATAAATACACTTTTCCAACTTTTTTCATACAAGCCAATTAATTGAGATCTCTTCATTTTAAAACTTTCAGGTACCTACTGTTCTTCTGGAACTATGATCTCAATTATATGACTTGACTCTTCTAGAGCTATTTTTATCTTCGAGTTGACCATCTTTATTTATAGCTCCTTTCTTTCTCGATGATTTTTATCTTTGGAACCGATTGGTCTACCACGCTTCATCGCTCGTTTAGACTCATTAGATTATCCAATGTGGATATTAATTTGTATTGGAGCATTCACATTTGGGACTGTGACATAATCACTCCTATTAGTGAGTAAAAGGCGTTTGGCAATCGATACGTTTTTTTCTCTCCATGAATCACCATATAAACTTCGGGTTCATGTTTCTTTGTTTGATGATCAAAATAAGATAATGATGATTCCAACTCACATCTATGCCCAACTGTTTACTTTTTTCCCCCTTCGCGTTCAAAAAGTAATTCATCAAAATGATGATATTAGCAAAAAGAGTCATGGACAAATCTCTCATTGCAATGGACACCATGTCCAACATAAGTTCTCATGGAACTCATAACGTGTTGTGGTGGAGCAATTGGGATGTATTCTGCACACCCAAATTTTCTAGCATTTGAAATGTTTGGTCCATGACCAAAACCATTTGTATTAAAGGGGGAACTTTTGATAACTTGTTGATTTCATGCGAATTAATGATACTATATGCTAACTAGCATGCCTCGACATGAGATCATAGGCTTAGCTTGTTCTCATAAGAGAATTTGTGTTTGATTGGATAATCATCAAAATATATCCATCATTCAACAATGAATCTCGCAAACATCAGGTTGCGGTAGATAACATACATATATGACGATATAGTTGATGCATCAATCAAAATAATAAAATTCATATATGATTTTCATGGTGAGTGTATTTTTCTGCATATACTTTTATAAAATCTCAACATATTCATTTATTTGATTGATGAATTCTCTAAACTCTCACTTAATTTCCATATGATATCTCAATCATTTTTTTCCGCATTTGTATCCGGGATGGTATAACCGGACATGCCAAAACAAAAAGTTATCCGATCTTGTAAACTTCTAGTTTACACTTTCATATGTACTAATATACATGTAGTACAAATTTCTCCGGTTAAGTATATGTTCTCTTAGAACACAAAGCTGATGCAATATCAATTATGATATTCGTTTCTGCGAATATCTTCATAATTCTGTAATGCATCTTCAACTGTCAGTTTAGTTCCTTCGCGTCTCAAAACATTAGCTTTTCGGAGCCTTCACATACTCTTGTACAACATTTTGGTCATTAGGCACCTTCTGATTTCGGTGAACTATTGTGAGCACATATCCATAGTGATAAGAATAATGTTTAGTTACTTCAAGTAACAAAACACAATCTCTTCCAGAGCTTTTCCTTACTTTCATACTATATGATATAATACTAGTATTGACTTTTGCGAATATTCATTCTATACAAAAGTATACAAAATAATAATAATAATAATAATGATGATAATAATAATAACATCAATATATATGTGTTTCATTACACATTTCGACATACAGAAGTTATAGTATATGATCATGACTTTTGCTACATGAATTCTTGTGTCATTCTCATTTATAATAATTTTATCTTTCACTTCCAGTGAAAAGAAACATTTGTTGATTATCGTTATCCAAACTTCCCGTGTATTTTTTTCCATCGCAATGGTAACTCATATTCCGACATTTTTGTTACCAGATCCACTTCTTTCATTTGACACATTTTTCTTCATTTTTCCACTTCGGGGGAAAATGAGATCTTTAGACTTTCATTTCTCTATATGTCCAATGTAACAATTGATAAGTCGACTCTTATTGATTTTGCTACAACAGGAGCAATTTTCATTATCTGATAATGTCCAAGCACAAACTCTATGTTACAAGATCGACAAATATAAAATAAGTTCATAAAATAATATGAACAAATAACAAGATCAAATAATCTCTCAAAGACAATGAGATAGATAAACATACTACCAAGAAACGACATGAAAATTTGTATACCTTGATCGTGTTGTGATCTTACTCAAGTATATTTGATTCTGTAGAGAGACAATCACCAACCATGACTTTGACAGAGCTTCGTGCTGATAACGTGTTAAGAAACTTAAGAAATATATAAACAACTATGAGAGAGTATGGAGAGGAAAAATACACAAGGTTAGAGAGGGGAAGAGTTCTTCTTATTCATGTGTTCCTTAGTACAAGGAGATCATATATTTATAGGCACACATCACATAACCTCTACATTCTTACAATTAATATACATGAATGTGAGAATAAATGTGAAATAGAAATGGGGTGGTGGTTACCTGTAACACCCAATTGTACATCTAATGTGGTGGTCATCCACATAAATATTTACATAATATAATTATCTTTTTCTCACTCTTTCGGGGCATAATAGCTAGACTGCAAATCCACTAGCGACTTGAATAATTAAAGTTCTCCAATATTGTTAATGCCATTCGTTATCAGGGGGATGGGATTAGGTGCTAACCCTTATAGGGGTTAGCACCGTGATAACTAGCAAAAAACACTACGGATTATTATAAAATCAATACAACATCTAAGCTAAATCACTACTAATTCAAACTAGTAGTAGTTTTTCCCTTGGTTAGGACGGTGCTAACTATTGTACAATTAGCACCGTAGCCGTTCCTGTTATCAGATTCAGGCCGCCTGACTTAAGAACATATTAAATGGAGGGCAACTAGCTAATTGTCCATTTGGGTCGGCCGACCAAGACATACGGCATCAAAGATTAATTAACCTTAAATTTTTTATGAATAACAAACAGGTAGAGAAGATGCACCTAATGATCATTACATTCATAATAAAACCAAAGCTAATCAGAAACAATTTTTAAGTATTCATATATATCTACGTCGTGACCATATATATATGGTAGGTACGAGATTGTAGAGAAGACCTGCTAGGGCACTGGCCGTCAGAAGTCAACGCCTGCAGGCTGCTCCAATCTCCATGCCGCTCTGTGACTCGATGATCGTGTTCATGATTCTATCTCATCAGATTTTCAAAGCCAACTTGTACCAATTTTTTTTCAAAGAAATTGGAGGAGTTGGAAATAAGACCTCAGCAGTCAAGTCCTTCAAATCTGAATCTCTATTTAATAAGGAATAACACAACCATCATCTCTGATTGTCGTATAATTTGATTATTGACCCAGTAAACGTTAAGTTAATTGGAATTACATTTGTGATGGATCCCCAATAATTTTCATTTCGTTCCATTGTTCACACAGTACGCTAGTATATAATAACATCTCAACTCTCGAAATCGGATAAAATTATATGTAAATTTTGTAACATCTCAACTCTCGAAATCGGATAAAATTATATGTAAATTTTGTAATAAATTTGAAAAATATAGTAGTTTATAAGGCTTTAGTCGAATGCTACTACTGTTGTTCGCAATTTTGACCCGGATGGAATTTTGGCTCGGCGACAAGTTGAAGTATGAATGAGCAAACTTAATGGCCTATTGACTATTGAGTGAAGGAAGGGTTTCATTTACTTTGAAATATTGAATAACATCTCAAAAGTCACTTCTAATTTCAATTTCGAAAATATAACTCAATATACAAGAATATCAAATACCAAAAATTTCAGTATTATATTTTATATACCATAAATACTAACACGTTGTTTGTTATAAATGAATTTTATAAGTTTTCGATATATTCTTTTTAACATGAAATATTTGTGTTTGAAATAGAAAATAATTTATTTTTAATGATAAACTTTGAATTCACATTTGTTCTTGTGGAAAGGTGTCACCCTGTCACTACACAGGCTCAACCATAAGGTTATGATTCTTGTGCTAATTCAATAAGCTAAGTAATGATAACATTGTTACTTTCACAATTAATGGTACATTTTGGATGGTTTTCATTTAATTCAATAATATATGTGTTCCAAACATGATTGGAGAGTTTAGTTCAATTAATTTGTAAGAATATGAGTATAACATTCTAGACATAACAGTTCGTTTGATGACGAATTTTGCACGGTATGACATGAAATGAAATCTTGATTCATTTGGTTCCGAATAGTCCATAAGGTAAAAATTAAATATAATAAAAGGATAAGTTAGGTAAAACAGAAAATAAAGGACTAAAATAAAAGTGTTAATAATAGTTGTGAGTAATGTCATTCGAATATTTCACCTCATCAAGAAGAGAAAAATATTTTTTCATTGAAAATATGATAAAACATATGTTGTAAACCGGTAGAAATAATATTTTATTGTTTTCAAAACACGAGGAAGCTACTATTTTCTATTGCCAAAGTTTAATATGAACCAAAAATAATATGAAAAGTAAACAACTTTTTTCGTTTCCATTGCCATATTTCATAAATGAAAAAATGAAACAAGAACGAGAATGAAAGTGAATAAACCCTGATTTTGTTGGCATGACACTAAAACTAACCTTATCCAATAGGAAGTGTTTTATTTTGTGAATTTCTATGTTTAAGGATAGACAACAATTTAATGTTGATTTTAGTGGGAGGGACATGGTTGCCATTTTGAAAATTTAACTAACTAACCTAACGTTTTTCGTCCTCCTATTCACAGCTCCATTCAGTTCATAGCTGTTGCACTATCCCTAACTTGAGCTGGTGTTGGAGATTCGAGCGGCGGCCAGCGGCAAATACAGTACATAGTAAAGCACTTAACCATATTTGAATAGAATATTAGATACCGACTACTAATAGGGGTGATTATACGGCCCGGTCCGGTTAAATTGGCCTAAATTGATCCGGTCCAGTCCGGTCTTTTTGAAAATATAAGGACCAAAGCTTTGATTGGATACAGTCCAGTCTTGATCCGGTCCGGTCCCAATTCGGTCTTTGATTTTATATTAAGCATTGTGGGGATTTGAGTGGCCTAAGGCTTGAAAGGGTGAGGAGTTGGTTAAGTTTTGTACTAAGTGCAAAGGTTTGTGACCGTTTATGCAAATTACCCTTAAGTTTTGGGTGTTGAGCTCTCTTATCCGGTCTTTATCCAGTTTTCGATCCGGTCCGAATGGTTTTTTTACCTCAAATTCAAGCCCAAAGATTGGATTGGATTGTTTACTATCCGATCCCGCTCCGGGTTATACGGTCCGGTTTCGGGTAAAACCAAAAACTCGGACCAAATAGCCAGCCCTAACTACTAATATGCCGAAAGAGGTAAAGAGAGCTGGAAGCAAACATGTCTCGTTTGCTATACTAGCTATGAACTTAGAGGAGGGATGGACCATTGCCCAGGGAGGCCTCCCACTAAATCCTCCACTAGCGGCGGCCGACGAGAAGTAGACAACAACAGTGGTGAAGATCGCTCGAGCTATCGAGAAGGAGCAATTGTCTGAGTTGGTGTTGAAACTACACCGAATATTGTGTGCGGTCGACGAAGAACATTAATATAATTTAATCTTGAGTGAGACATCTTAGACTCTTGAACGAACTATCCAATTCGTCTTAACATTTCTTTTTTCCTTCTTATTAACATATCAATCCACTATTTTATATTTTGTCATTTTGATACCCAAACTTCTTAAACGTAATAAAAATAAATCCCTTAGGTCTGACAAATTCCCTAAATACCCTCGAAACACAAAATCAAATTTTAAATGGAATCTCTTTGATCCCCAGAGAGTCACCAACTCAAGATCCTTCAAACCAAACCCATGAACCACAAAGGCTCAAACCCTCAAACCCACCTACCCAGCCTATTTGCCACCTCTTTCCCCATTAGATCCCAACAGTATATTCAATTACTATGACTCTATGAGGTGAGGAACTCCTTCCACATGAATTAAGAATAATAAAGAGGAAGAAAAATATCTTTAAACCCAGGAAAGGAAATGTCATGTTTTGCACTTCCTCATCAGCTGGAGAAAATTTGGAACATAGCAAATAAGTCAAAAGCAAGGAAAGAAGAAGAAAACAGAGCATTGCAGGGGCAGTAGTGGGATTTGATTTTGTAGCAGGGGAGTCTTTTTCAAAGTTGCCAGGTTGGAAGTTGGAACCTTGGAATTAATATACGGTTCGATTCATCTCGTCTCTGTATCTCACTGTGCATGTCTGTGTATATATACTTGCACAAACACAAGGGTGGAAGATACAAACGATGGTGAACATGGGCGAGTGTTTAAAACCTCTAAAAAGGGATATCTAAGTAGAAGAAGCCGAAGGCCCTACTAATCTCTCTTCTCTTCCCCCACACAATAATAAAAATATCTCAGTTAGCAAGCTGCTAGCTTTACCCTTTTTCCCCTTTTCCGGTGGGTGGTTATGGCTTCTTCTTCCAGTTCCATGGAAGGAGGAGTGGAGAATGACTATACTCAAGATGGGACAGTGGATCTCAGAGGCAACCCAGTTCGCCGTTCTAAACGTGGTGGCTGGAAAGCTTGTTCCTTCGTTGTGGGTAAGTACTATTGATTACTTGCATATTCCCCTGTTTTATGATGCTCTGTTTTCTTGATCTCCCCTGCTTCCTCTGTTTCTTGACATAGCTCTCCGGTTTTCCCCAGCCTTTGTTTTGTTTTCCACATAGTTTTCCAGAGCTAGCTCAAGGTCGACACCTGGAAATGTCGAGTTGGGTAATGAGCGTTAATAAGGCTTTCCCCTGCTTTGCCTGGAACTTTGTGATCCAGCCATGTCATTTCCCCTTTCTCTGGCTCCCATTTTTCTTAGGGTAAATGGCGAACTCCTTCTTCTTAATTTCATTTGCGGCCGGGTAGTCAAAGGATTGGTCCATGGAATGGATTAAGATCGGAGGGATAGGCAGAGAGCAAATTGAGATCCCAAAAACAATGGAAAATCTTCCCAAATTTCTTCCACTTTTCCAGTCAGTTAATGCTGATAGAACACAAAATTGCAAAAGCATTTAATGGGCAGTGTGGTGGTGACCAAAAGTTTCAACCACAATACGACCAAACCCAACTCCATGGGACCATGACCGGTGGAGCTGATTTGAGCCGAACTATGATTTTGGTGTACCCAATTGAACCACAAATTGATAGCCTTCAAAATTGGATATGAAAGTTACAAGGAGCTTTCGAAATGTTGGATATTACGAGAAAAAGAGATATACTTTGAAATGCTTATATCTTCTAGATATTTGGAAATGATTTCAATAGAGACATTGTGAATTGTTTTATTGTCAAAATGCTTGTTATTTTTTTTTTATAGCTTGCTAGATGAGATATTTTGCTAAAAATACTTGTTTCGAGACATTGTCGACAAAACATTCAATTCATAGTTCAAACGACTTATATATGTATATATGCGCCCCCTTAATACCTCGCTTTTCTTAATCCTCAGCGACCTTCGCTCGCTTCTCCTCGATACTCTCTATCTCTCTCGCTCCCACCCACCCATCAATATCCTTAGTTCCCTCTACCGACATATACATTTGCATGAAATTCTACCAAACCCCCCAAAAAAGTATAAGATTAGGTCACGGTCGAAAAGTTTGTATCTGCTTCAATTTAATTTTTAATTGAATCCCATCCCTAATTCATCCATAAGAAAAAGTCAGTAAGTTACGGTTGTATTGATTCCGAATCGTCCTTTTGCTTCATGAAACTGGATTCTCATAAATACTATTGTGCACAGACAGTTGGGTAGCAAAATTTTGCTAAGATTGTAATGAATAGATGACGAATTTTTCGTAATAACGGGCTGTTTTTGGTGGTTTGGCTTCCTGCAGTTTATGAGGTGTTTGAGAGGATGGCGTACTACGGGATATCGACAAACTTGGTGATTTATTTGACGAAAAAGCTGCACCAAGGCACAGTCAAATCCTCCAACAACGTCACCAATTGGGTCGGCACAATTTGGATGACGCCAATCCTCGGCGCCTACATCGCCGACGCTCACCTCGGCCGCTACTGGACCTTCGTCGCCGCCTCCGCCGTCTACCTCTCCGTAAGTGTAACTGCCTGCTAATTATTTGTTATCTCATTCTATATACTCGTCATCATCTTGCTAATTACTTAATCAAGTCTTTGAATGGCGGGAATTCCCGACGATTGATAGTGATTTTTTAATCTAGAAAAAAAAATGTGGACTTAATTGCTTAATTTTGGCGATTGGCGATGGATAAGGATATGTATGTCTTTGGTAAACGCGCGTGACTAACCATTTTTCAATCCATAATATTATCCAAGTTTGCTGCTCTGCTTGTTTTGTTCCCACGGGCATCTAGAAATAGGTTGACCCGGCGACCGGCCGGCAGTGATCAACAGTGAACACTGTCGTGAGTTGTTTATTAATGGTTAAATACACTTGTATATCCAAAACTTTCACGGTTGTGTCAATAATATCCAAATTTCTCGAAATACCACTTATATCCAATTCTTTCACATTCCTTAACGGTGTTTTTGGATATAAGCGGTATTTCGAGAAATTTGAATATTATTGGCACAACCGTGAAAATTTTGGATATACAAGTGTATTAACTCTTTATTAATTACCCATTTTTAATTTCCGTCAAATATCGATCGAGCTCTTAATTTATTCCCACCACAGAACGTGGCAAGAGATTAACCCCGTCGATCGATAAGCTTCAATTTGGCAAGTTGACATATTATTTTTGTCGGGCAGGCTGTCTGGTCTTGTCCTTTTCTCCTCAATATAGATGTTTAATGGTGGTAACATGATCAGATGGCTGATGATTGATGATTAGTTTAGTTATTATTAGTTAATCATCCTATTATCTGAAAGTTACGCAAGGGCAGGCTGGTCTTTGTCCTGTTACAACGTTATTGCTTAACTAATAACTAGTGTTTGCTCGGTTCCACTCTTGATCATTGGTTGGTTAGTGAATATAGTGAAAGAGTTATTTCTGAAGTTTTATTCTCCAAGTGTGAAAAATACACACACCGAAAGAAAATGAAAGTGTAAGTGAGTTTATAAAAAATCTCTTTCTGCTCTACTCTATTTTATTGTTTGTGTGGTTAGTGAAATTTTGGGAGTGGTATGCGCAATTTAATATGATTTCAACACTTTGCACATTGCGGTTTGAAATTGAGTTTTTATATTTAATTTATAATTTTTCGAATAATTAATTAACTATAGTTTGCGATTATTGTGGAGACTGGAAAGAAGTCATGTTTGAGTAGGTAATTTCCATCTTCACAATTATAAGTCCATTACCGCCAAAATTATTTTTCTTACGCTCTTCTTCTTCTTCGTTTTGTTTCTTCTTCTCTATATAAATCTCAAATACGAAAAATTGAAGTTATTGCTTCCAAACTTTGATTGAAGAGACTCTTAAGAGTGATTTGTATAATTTCCGCGAGCAATTTATTGCATGGATAAATAGAGTGATAATTCACGCTTTCACTTACGTTTTAGTGGCAGATTCGGGGGGAGGGCCTCCCCAAGCCACGACCTAGTCCTATTCTTGCTTCATAGCTAGTTTTGAGATGTACTTGCTTCTAGCCCTCTCTGTCTCTTTCGACACAGTGCTAATCAATATCTAACTTTCCAATTCAAATGTGGTTCAGTGCTCTAGTATGTTTTGAGTCCGCTATTGTCGTGTTTTCTCCTCACAATTGGGCTTGAGTTCCAACTGAAGAACTTTTAAAGCTTTTCCAAAAAAAAAAAAATAGTTTCCTTTTTTGTCGTTGCCATCTCGTTATACTATCTCTTTGTTGACTTGCAAATTCTCTCTGTAGTGCTCAAATAATGGTGTATATGGTCAAAACTTCGAATCATTTTTCATATCATTGTCATATAAATAGACTTTGGCACCTCATCCTTAAATTCTAACTCCATCCCTATTCTTTCTTGCTCGATAAGACTGAATACTTATTGAGTTCTGCTCAAAACAAGATAAATAATTACTTTATGACAGGTATCTCATTAATTAATGAATTATTACCCTACCTTGAAATTTCAACAAGAAAAAAGAAACCCTAACATACATTAATGCAGGGGATGTCGCTGCTGACGCTCGCAGTCTCGCTGCCGTCGCTCCGGCCGCCGCACTGCACCGACCCGGACCCGAACAACTGCCCCAAGGCCTCAACCCTCCAGCTGGGCATTTTCTTCGGGGCCCTCTACACCCTGGCCGTGGGCACGGGCGGGACCAAGCCCAACATCTCCACCATCGGGGCCGACCAGTTCGACGACTTCGAGCCCAGGGAAAAAGCCCACAAGCTCTCCTTCTTCAACTGGTGGATGTTCAGCATCTTCTTCGGCACCCTCTTCGCCAACACCATCCTCGTCTACATCCAGGACAACGTCGGCTGGAGCATCGGCTACGGCCTCCCCACCGCAGGCCTCCTCGTCTCCATCGTCATCTTCCTCGCCGGGACGCCCTTTTACCGTCACAGGGTCCCCGGCGGGAGCCCTTTTACTCGGATGGCTAGGGTGATCGTGGCAGCGGGGAGGAAGTGGAAGGTGGATGTTCCTGGTGATCCGAAGCAGTTGTACGAGCTGGATCTGGCTGAGTATGCCAAAGGTGGCAAGTTCAGAATCGACTCTACGCCTACTCTGAGGTAATGTATACACTTATTGTGTGTGTTTCGTCGTTTTTTTCGTATCTAGCTGTCTCCGGTTAAATTTGTATGCTTGTTGTTACGGTAGGTTTCTGAACAAAGCTGCGGTTCAGACGGGGTCAGATGACGACGGTCCGTGGATGCTGTGTCCGGTGACTCAGGTCGAAGAGACGAAACAGATGCTGAGGATGATACCGATCCTGGTGGCGACCTTCATACCTAGCACGATGATCGCGCAGATCAATACCTTGTTCGTCAAGCAAGGGACCACCCTGCACCGCCAGATCGGCAGCTTCCACATTCCTCCAGCGAGTCTCACCGGGTTCGTCACCTTGTCGATGCTTATTTCTGTTGTATTGTACGACAGGTTCCTGGTCCCGCTGGTGAGGAAGTGGACCAAGAACCCGCGAGGGATCACGCTGCTCCAGAGGATGGGGATCGGGATCGTCTTCCACATCGTCATAATGCTGGTGGCGTCGTTGACGGAGAGGCACAGGCTGAGCGAGGCGAGGAAGCATGGTGTGGTGGAGAATGGAGGCCAGATCCCTCTCTCCATCTTCGTGCTGCTTCCTCAGTTTGTGCTCATGGGAACCGCGGATGCCTTCTTGGAGGTGGCCAAGATTGAGTTCTTCTATGACCAGGCTCCGGAGGGCATGAAGAGTTTGGGGACTTCGTACTCCACTACTAGCCTTGGGATAGGCAATTTCATCAGTAGCTTCCTTCTGTCGACCATTTCTGATGTCACAAAGAGGCATGGGCACAAGGGTTGGATCCTGAACAATTTGAATGCCTCTCATCTCGACTACTACTACGCCTTCTTCTCCGTGCTCAACTTCCTGAACCTGGGCTTCTTCTTGGTCGTGATCAGGTTCTATGTCTACAAAGCTGAAGTCTCGGATTCGATGCATGTTCTAGCGGAAGAACTGAAAGAAAATGCTCGTTTGAGGGAACAATCATCCAATGAATAACTTATAATCTGTTTGCACAGACAGTGAAATGACAGTGAGAAACATTATTCAGCTCCAAGCTACCATGATCGATATTGCAAATGAAGGTTCTTCCTGCAACGGTCACATTTGTTCATGCTTTATATAACATGCACTAGGGTTTCGAGAAACATCTTTTTATAAGCAAACAAACACATAATGAATGATGAGAAAATTTCAAAACCCTTTTTAAGGGGAGAAGTTGAATTGATCACGACTACGTGCACACACAGAAACCTCTTCCAAGGAGGTGCCTAACACCAGTACCCTAGTACTAAAAAGTTAAAAAACACCAAAAAATTGTCAGTTGTTTTTAAGCTCTTTAGCACAATGAGCCGTCTTTTACACTATTTCTCTTCTTATGTGTATGTACTATGAAATCAAGGTCAGCTAGATATTAAAATTTATATAGTAGTCTCTGACCTCCTGAAATTATATTTGCGTAATAGAGGACAAAATTCCCTCAATTGGGTTCACTTCTCATCACTTTCTTTTGGCTAACTGGAACGATTTCTTCAAGAACTGATTCGCTACTCTGTCATTCCGGTGGCATAAAACTCTCAAGATTGTGTTTGGATCCCCTCTATTCCATCTCCCTGTTGTTGGTGGCATTGGTAGTTTCTGTCCGGAACTCAAGGCTCCTATACCGCTCGTCTCGCAAGCAGCAGTGCTGAAATCCTCCATTAGTTGCTCTGTGGATTCACCCAACAATGCAATCACTCCTTCCACTATCTCTCCTTCCCTCTCCACGAGGTCTTCATTCATCAACCCTTCACCACAAGTGCAGAACATGCATTTCAAGCTCTGGAAATCCTCCTCGATCATATGATGATCAGTTTTGTAGAATACTCTAGAGCATCCTCCGGCAAGTAAAACCATGAGGAAGGCCTCGAATGTGGCCTTCATTACTTCTGTCATGGCTAATGATTGAGCTCTCTCAGTCAGGATTGCACTCATGAGGGTAAGATTTTGTTTGAGGATTCTAAGTGCTGGTTTGATCCTTGCATTGGCAACATCAATGACATAAAGTGATTCGTATATCACCGAGCTGGAGTCGAGGAATATCAAACGATAACCAGCCACTTCTGATACATGTTGGCAAGCAGATTGGATGGTTGCGTGGGCTTTCTCAAAGTAAGAGGATGTACTGTGTTGTCGACGACTATTACGCCTTCGAGCTGAATTACACCTTGGAGCCAGGGCAAGGGTCTTGTCTAGTGCATGTAAGTGAGAAACAAGATAATGCAATGTGTTGAGACGGATGTAGAGACGTTGTGTTCCTCGACTTGTTGATGGTCGAGGGTGATGAATTTCATTGAACTCATTTTGGTGAAGATCCTCCAGTGTCACAGTGCAAGGAGCTGCCTTTTTCCATATTTTGGAGAACTTCGAGTCCCGATTGCATCTGGTTAGTGGAGGAAGAGTTGGGAGATAACTTTGCTTTGATCCTAGAAAATTAGTACATGAATTCGGTGAGACCAAATCCAAATATAATAAGAGAGAGATAGAGAGAGTTGGTGGTACGATTTGCATACCACAAGCTGTTACGAAACTAACATATTCTAGGAACAACTGCTCAAGACCTTCTGAAAGTGTACAAATGAGATCATCTGTAATTCCAATGGGGGTTTCGAAGAATTCTTCCACTGTTTCGGTGGCAATTTTGATTAGCTCCACAGCTGATTGAGCATAAGGTTCGTTTTTGGACTTGGGATTCCATGTCTGCAAACAATAATATACATGTTAGAATATCATTTTATTTTTACATTTCAATTTTTGTAAGTTATGCGCTTGCATACCTCGGACTCTTTTGCTCGAACAACACATTCTCCGCCAATCTTCAACCTCTCTTCAATCCATTGCTTGACAAGTTTCAGTATGATTGAATCAACCTCATAAGGAACCATCTCCCTAATAATATTCTTTCCTCCATCTTCAGACTCCTCTGAGTCCTCGACCACCATTTGAACCAAGGCCTTTTCGAGCTTGGCAGCCCTGTGGAGCACATCCACCATCTCATTATTCAAAGATGTCACGCCAGCTAGATACTGCTTCAATACTGCTCCGTAACATTGGTGTAGAGTCACAGATGCAATACTGGCAGCATTTGGGTTCCACTTCTTAAGGGTGGAACTAAAGCATTCCCTCTCTCTTAAAGCCAAATCCTCTGTCTCTTTAGCCAATTGAAGCAGTGCCTCAGTTGCCTCATCTTTCACTTCCAACCTAGTGCTCTTGTAGCTTCCAGTTTCTATGATCTGCCATTATATATATACAAACCAACGATACAATTCAACACATGAGCAGTGATTTCTTATGCATATTATCATAAATCGTACTACATTACCTTGGCGAAAGCATTCTTGATTGAAGCACGAATATAATGACCAACTCGATCCTCGGACGAATCAATCACCATGTTAGTGTCTCTTCTCTCGTTCCCTCCCATCCCTTCAACAATGGAAACATCCTCCCCTAAAATCCTAGATGCAGATAGAGCCAAAGGCAACAGATTCTCGATCAAAACAATTGTCCCTCTCTGGAAATAATCATGGTAGTGAAGTAATCTCCTCTCGGCCCACCCTTGCATCGACTCCAACATAAGAGACAACAACTTTACATACAATGATTCCCTATCAGGCCGCCTCGATTCATTGGCGACTTCCGTCGATAACATGGTGTGCGCTGCGTAAAGCAAGTCTGGCTCCGTTTGTGAAGTTAGCACATATTGTTGGAACAATACCCAAGTGAAGCAAAGATTGTGAATCGGCCGGCTGATCCCCAAAGTTGTCCATGTCTTCTTCATTAGCTCCATAAGCTCATCAACCTCATCGAGTACCATGGTTTCTTCTCTAATGTCGAAGATTGAGCGAAGGAGGGCGATGTAGATGTTGATGTTGAGAGGGTAACCGTCGGCCCAGTGGCAAACATCGGTGGCGTTGCTATTGCTGCTTTTCCATGAGAGGGAGACCACGGCATTGCAGAGGGATTTCATGGTCTCGGAGTTTTTGCTGGTGTCAACGGGTCTGGTCTCACTAGAAATGATGATCTCACGGAGGCGGATGGCATGGGTGTTGGATTTGTCTATTGGGATGGAAGGGTGGATGAGGAGACCGTTCTCTAGCACCTTGAATTGTCGTCTCTGCCATATGTGGTACTCGGGACCGTCGTTAAACTCTGATGGCTTTAAATGGCGAAGAAGCTCTAGTGGTAATATTATCGTCTCTGCTCGTCTCCCTAGCTGTGACCATTTTCCATCAAAACCAAAAGAATCAAATTAAGGAATATGCATGCACGAGACACATGTTTTTCGATGGTTCACAAGTTGGAAAATGTAACATAGTGACTATGAGAAGTGAAATTTACATGCAACAAAACGTACTTGGCCAACAAGGGTCCGCATTAAAGTTTTCCGGAGCCGATTATCGCTTTGTTCTGTCACTCTCATCTGAAGCCTCATTATCTCTGCAGAAGTTAGAGGTCGTCTTGGACGCACGGGTTGCAACGTGGAGAAACCAATATTGGGGCTACTGAATACCGTGTGATGTTGTGGTGTGCTGGGGGAGCTCGGCGCTGAACCTGCACCACCACTACCTCCACCGCTAAATCCGCCACCCAGGCTTGACATCCTTCTAGATGGTGTTCTCTTGAGCATTTTCAAACCCAAAGCTCGCTTGATTTTACTAACTGGAGACGTAACAACAACAGAGCCACCACCTCCACTCAGCCTCCCTACTGACGGTGAGGATGACCCAAATGACAAAGACCCGAATCCTCCTGCTCCTCGTCCTCCTTCTCCTCCACCACCACCACCATCATTGGGATTACTATGGGTGGAGTAAAATGACAGGGCATTCCTCCCGCCACCAAATCCAGGAGAAGATCGACACGCCGTGAAGAAGACCTCGTAGGCAGTCTCGCGGATGTCATCGACATCTAAACCATCAAGGTTGCTAAAAGGCCAGGTGAGGTCAGCGACAACGTCCTCATCAATGGTGGGTAGGGTCCCAGAGAAGGAATCTACATGGTGGTGGTGATTTTGTTGCCCCTCCATTGTCTAAAACTTTTTTTTCTTGCAAATTAGTAGCAAAAAGAAGAGGGGAAAAAAGAACAAGCAACCGCCGACGACCTAGGATTTCATGCAGATGAATAGGAACACGGCTGCCGGCGGTGTATGGGGTGCGTTTCTAAGTATCCGGCAGGGGAAAGAAGGGAGAGAAGACAACCATTTCCCGGGGAAGCAGAGATTTTGGAGGAATATGATAATTAAACGAAGAGGGTATTGGTTTGATAGATGTTTCAGGAGGCGAAATTCATTGCAAAAAGAGAGGCTATGAGAAATCTCAAATTGGGGTGTTTGGAAAGGAGATAAAATTGTTGCTAACGAGGGAAATGAGGAGAAGGTTAATGAAGAAAAGATTCTGCGGTGTGCGGGCAGGTAGTTGATTTAGGCTCCGAGGACTTCTCTTTTATCTTTTGTTTTCTCTATTTTGTCTTTTCGGATAATTTAATTTGTTGGCCCCTATAGTTAGGGGTGTACATGGGTCGGGTGGTCCGGGTTTAGTCATTTTAATCATCCGACCTAAGCACTACGGTTTGGAAAATATTAAACCCAACCAAAAAAATCAAAACCCTACGGTTTGTTTTCAATTGGGTTGGGTTGGGTCGGGTTGGCGATATTTTTAAGTAAAAACCCAACCCAACACAAAATATGTAATTATTCTACATCATAAAAATATTTTTATAACTAATCAAAATTTCAAACGAATAAACCAAGGTGAAAGGTATCGAAATTCACAAATGTTGTTTGAATTTTAATAAAATATAATTTACTTCAACATATGTCTATAGTTTTTTTCACAATATTTGCTTAAATAGGCTAAATGGATTATAAACAAACACATCCATAATATGTTATTCTATTAAAATGGTACCAAGAAAAAGGATTACGTGAATCATAGCTATATTAAATCTATGTCTAAATTTTAAGCCGATGAATGCATTAGATTAGGGAAACCATGGGAGAAAAACATGGCAAAATATCTTAATTTTCTTACAAGTATGGCTATATACGACATAATTTTTTTTTGTACACGAACTCATACTAATAGTTGGAACACGGGTTGGGTCGGGTTCGACGGGTTGTGTAATCCAAAATCCAAACCCAAGCCAAAGATGCGGGTTGTACAAAAGAAAACTCTCTTCCTACCCAAGCAACGAAATCAAATGAAAGGAATCCTAAACTAGACAGAGTTAGAACTTTTCTTGCCACACTAAGGGCAGCCCGATTGACAGTTCTATGAATCGCACAAATCTCTAAGTCTATGTCTAGAGCAACGATCATCTAACGGCAGTGTCTGAGCATCGGGCCTCCAATCGCATCTGATTTTATCCCTCTGAGTAGTTGGTGAATGATGAC